AATATATCAGTTCTGGCCTGGCCAGCAGTCGTCGCAGTTCTCCCCCGGGAAATACAAAATAAATTTGCCAGCCAAATCAAAATTTGGATCTTTTTTCAAGATCAGTGGAACAACCGATAGCGTCGAAAGAACAACAGCTTGTGTACGTCCATAGCTCGAAGATAAGATTAAAGGTTAAAAAACGAACCCGGACCCGGCCACCTCATATACAGTGACTAATTATTAAATTTATTCAAACCACTTACAGTAAATGTACATTTTTATTAAAAGTTCCATATCAACTACCTTACTTTACTACAATTAACAACAGCTTACTATAGCAGTTAGTTTTAGTGTTTTTTCTTTTAAAAAGTGAGTGACAATATTATCATAAAAGTGGCAAAATGTTAATTTACCGGTTTTGTAAGAGATAATCTTGCCCTGCAGGTTAATTTATAACCCCTAAACCCCTGTTATATCAGTCCATAGGTGGGCTTATGCATTTAAGGCACTATAAAAGAAGTTTATGGAATTTAACTTATGGAATTTATTTATGAAATTAACTTTAAAATGATGTAAGCAATTATTCAAAATGTAACCACAATTTCTTCAGACAGATCTACATTCCGAAATGGCGGGACAAAGCAAGCTGGTCGATCCACTGTGCATCACTTGCAAGCAGTTCCAGCACCCATGGACGGACCACTGCGTGAACGCCACCGCCGGTATTCTGCTCTCGGCCACGCCCTACTGCCTGCGGGTTTACACTATAGTCTACGCCCTGTCCTTGCTGATGCGCCACCGCATTCCCAGTAGGGAGGATCTGCGCAAGACGCTGCTGGGGATCATCCAATCGACGGCCTTCCTTGTGACCAATGCCTACACCTTCATCCTGTACAACTGTGCGCTGCGGCACATGCTGGGGAGATATCACTTCTCCACAGTGGCCTTTGTGCCCTGCTTTTTTGCCTCGCTTTCGGCCATTTTGGTGGAGAGACCAGCCCGCCGACCACTACTCACTCTCTACGTCGCCAATGTGGCCACTGAAGCGCTGTGGAAAATGGCAGAATCGAGGGGATGGGTGCGCTCTATTCCGAATGGGCAGACACTCATATTCGGTGTGAGTATGGCGGCGCTGCTCTACCTCTATCGTACTGGCACTACCAAGGATTCCATCTTCAACATTCTTCGCATCTTTGTGGGCAAGGAGGAGGCGGGACCGGTTGCCAAGTCCGAGCCCGCAGTGCCCGGTGAGCAGCCTGCGCCAGACCGCCGTCGTCCCACCGTTAGTTTCTCATCTGTATCCGACTGGGTGCGCGTGTACAGCAATCTCATTCGCGCTAAACACGGCAGCTGTCGGCATCAGCAAAGCTGCATTGGATACTCCCTGATGGGTGGAATTAAACCCTTTGTGGGCGGAGTGGGCCTACAGTTGGCTCTTAAGCTGGTAATGAACGCCAAACGAATCACGGCTGGAAAAATGCCGTGGAAGAAGCTGGTCCTCAACCGTGGGACTCTACAACTGGGCATCTTCATGGGCAGCTTCTCATTTCTCTATAAGGTAAGCGCTTTCACATGCGAGACCAACAGTACGTACCAACAGTATTTTGTCGTCCTTGACAGTCGGTGTCTTGCCTGCTGCGGCACAGTTTTAACCGGGACGATGCAAGGTTCGCAGTTCCTGCGGCGTTAATTGCCTCTGTGTCCTTCACCCAGTATCCGGATAACACGGTAGCCTTGTATGTCATGTGGAAGGCGCTACAGGTGAGCATGTTGCATTACCTGCATTTTTGAACGTAATTAATAACTGTTTAATTTATAGATTCTGTGCACAAAGGGCCAAGAGCTTGGAATTGTGCCACACATTCCGAACTTTATGCTTTTCTTGTACTCCTTCTTCACGGCTGTGCTTTTCCACGCGGGAATCCTGGAACCCAAGAGCCTGCGCCCCAGTTACTACAAGTTTCTGCAGGCCATTTCGGGTGATCGGTGAGCAAAGTTCACACGCGCTTCGTAAGCTGTAGATTAATAATTCCTTATCATTTGCAGACTGAGCAAGTTTAATCTAAGCGCCTTCGATGTATTTGGGCTGAGCAGTCAGCAACAGGCGCTGGACACCATTAAAGCACTAAAAATAGTAGAAAAGGCGATGCCCGCCTACTCCTTTGCCTCCTGAGCCAGCAGTAGTCAATTTGGATTTAGTCAGTCGTCCTCACCAGAGGACCCTCTATATCTCCCAATATCCGTGTTCAATTGCGAGCTGTATATACATACGTCAAGAGTCTCCCGCGCTCAAAGAGCGTCCAACGATTATTAAAATAAGCTAGTAAGGGTGAATTGTAATATGCTGACCTTTTTTATTTCGTGGTATCAATAAATCTTATAAAAAATGTCGATTATAGCTTATGTATATTTTGAAAATTATTTAATAAAGCTATTTAAAATAATGCGTTAAGAGAAACCCCAACCTTTTCATGAATCAGCGTAAACAAACCATAAGAAAACCAACCGCAAATTTTGTCTGGCATGGGTGCGATAAGCATAAGTTTTACTAACACCCAAAGGTTAAGTAGTTTCCCCACATCGACTAACTTGGCGCACACCTGTTGATTAGCAAGCACTTGAGATCGTGGTGCGTAAGCCACTAAATCGCTCAGCATTTCAGTCAGTTGTAGTTAATGGTTGATCAGGTCCAAACGTGCGGTGAAAACCGAATTTATGGGACTACCAAGTGGTAGAAATCGGTTCAACTGATAGTGGATTTCCTTTAGATTAATGGTTGGCATATTTGAAATAATACCAACAAGTGCATATGCATGCACATAAACTGAGCCAAGTCAAGGGTAGAGTAGTAGGTTGGCTAGTTTTGGTTCTCATTGGCTGGATTTTTACCGATTAAGCTTATCAGTCTGCACTCGATAAGCACAGCCAGGCGTTCCCTAGCTATTTTCGTGTATTCAAATTGGATAATGGCAGCACAGAGTAAACTCACTGAAGTCGCCTTCAAATGCAGCTGCCAGGAGTTCGTCCATCCTTGGACTTCGAGCTGCGCCTGCGCGACGGCTGGGATGCTATTATCGCTAATTCCTGGCACATTTAAGACTTATAGTATGGTCTACACGGTGAGTTAATCATTATTTTCCTTTATTCATACGTCTAGTTATATATTGAATAACTTTCAGTTGGCACTCTTAATGCGCAGGCGCATTCCATCGCTCAAGGACCTGGGAAAGACCTTACTCAGTACTCTGCAGTCGACGGCTTTCCTCTCTATAAATGGCAGCCTCTTTATCCTCGCCATTTGCCTGGTTCGCCAGTTCCTCGGTGGCTTCTACTTCGGCACTGCAACCTGGTTGCCTGCACTTTTGGTGAGCTCCATATCGCTGGCAGTCGAGCGTCCGGAGCGCCGTACTCCACTGGCATTGTATGTGGCCAATGTGGGCATCGAAACGCTGTGGAAAATGCTAGAGGCCCGTGGTCTGGTGCGATCCATTGCCCATGGACAGGTGCTCATCATGGGAGCCAGTGTCACTGCTTTAATGTATCTATATCGTGCCGGATTGCATAGGACTGTTGCCAAGGATGCGACTTTCAAGGGATTGGGTCTGGTCATAGGCAAGGAGGAGGAGGGTCCCCTAAAGCCCCCTACGGTGACCATCCCTCAAGGATCTGACCTTGGAAGAGTGCATTTCCGCTGCATCACGTCGTACCTTAAGGTCTATAATCACCTGACTACCCTCAGGCATCCTTGCTGTCCTCACCAGTTTGGCTGTGCGGTGTACGCCCTCCTTGGAGGAGTTAAGCCCTTTGTGGGTGGTGTGGGTCTTCAGGTGTGTTTGAAGCTCCTGCTGAACATTTCGAATATACTCCAGCAAAAGATGCAGTGGCGCCAGCAGATCTTCAACAAGGGATCTCTGCAGCTGGGCCTAGCGCTCGGCATATTTTCACTGCTTTTTAAGGTGAGTCAAAATTACAAAATAGATTTCAAACTAATTTAATTAAAATTTTGCAGATAACTTCTTGTGGCTTGCGTCACTCTTTTGGATATGATGATGCTCTCTTTGCCATTCCATCTGGCTTAATAGGATCATTTGGCTTGCTGCACTTTCCCAATACCACGGTGTCTTTGTACCTGATGTGGAAGTCATTGCAACTCTTGTACAACTGGGGTGTCGCCGAGGGAAAGGTTCCGGAGGTGCCACAGTTCTCCATGATTATGTATGGATTCTTTACGGCCGTACTGTGTCACTCAACCGTTCTGGAGGCACGATCCATGCGGCCCAGCTACTTTAAGTTTATCGAAAACATTTCGGGAGGACGTCTGAGCCGGTTCAATCTGCAGCCCTTCGAGGCTTTTGGAGTTAAAAGTCAGGATCAGGCTGATTATGTTATCAAAAAGCTGGGTATTGTGTCGTCCTCCTCGAGCCCTCTATTTCCACTGACTGTTTAGAAGGTCTCAACTCTTGTGATCGTGATTGAGAAATAAAGATTTATTATTAATGTACTGAAGGTTATAAAGTCTCGAAACTAAAATTGTTAAATTTTTTCCTAGCTAGATAATTTAAATGTTGTATACATTCGTGTTATACTTGCATATTTTTTTCGTTCTGCTGCAACTGAGAATGACCCTTAAGAGAATTTGTTAAGAGAATTCTAAGAATATGCCGGGTGCCTTTGGAAATTGATAAGGAACACCCAGCTGGAGGTGACGCAGCGACAACAAACCGATCGCCATTGAGCAAGTACGCCAACTTTCGGCTCGCGTGTACGCGATAAGTAAGTGCCCTCCGCATTCGACGCACTTCAGCCGAACCACTTGCGGGAATGGGATTTTGGGGGAGTGCTGATTACGAAGGCCTAGGAATGGAGCTCTTAAAGTGCGTCTACAGTGCGGTCCGTGTACTTGGCCAAATCGTGGATAGTTGTTGGCAGTCAGTTGTATTTGATGGCCGACCAGGCCATAACGTTGTTCCCCAGCAGGAGAAAACAATATTAAATAACCAACGTGCCATAACAACTAAATATATATATTCGGTAAGCATTTGCTTTTTTTTCCCAACGCTTGCCTTATTTTCTTATAATTGTAATATATCTAATAACTTTCTGCGTCATGCAACCCGATCTTCAGCTGAAACCCAGTGGATCACCAGCTGCAGCTGATTCGAGAAATGCCCAGCGTAACTTACTGGGAATCAGGCTGAAATTAGACTGGATTACAATTGTAAATCAAGGAAATCGAATTTAACTAGGCCATTGGGAGCTTTGCGTGCCACGTTCGGAATTTTGGCGATAAGCCCCTTCCCGATAAGCTTTATCATCCCCACGAAGCCAATTCGATAATCGTAGACGACGGAGCATAAGTCAGTATTCAGTATTCAAAGTGGATCATGGGCGCCCAAAGTAAACTGGCCGAGATAGCCGTGAACTGCACCTGCTATGAGTATAACCATCCGTGGACAAGGAGCTGTGCCTGTGCTGCGGCAGGTATGATGCTCTCCGAGATCCCTCCCAGTCTGCGCACCTACGCCACTGTTTACGTGGTAAGTTGAATAGGTTAAAATTAGGCTAAAACTTTAGACCGTTCAGCTGATAATTTCTCCGTACAAAGGTTATGTTCCAAGTAATCCAGTAAAGTGTTAAGGGAATGATATTTAACTTCAATGAATCTCATTCCAACTCCTATTACCTCTCCAGTTGGCTCTGATCATGCGAGGACGCATTCCATCGCTGAAGGATCTGAGACGCACTGGATTTGGAATCCTGCAGTCGACAGCGTTCCTTTCGATGAATGGAGGCCTCTTTGTCTTTGCCGTGTGCTACTTGCGACAGATCCTGGGCGGATTCTACTTCGGCACAGTTGCCTGGTTGCCCTCATTCCTGGCCAGCGTTGCATGTATTACCTTCGAGCGCCCGGAACGACGTGCTCCGCTCGCATTGTATGTGGCCAATGTGGGTATCGAAACGCTGTGGAATATGATGGAGGCACGAGGCTGGGTTCGGTCCATTCACAATGGACAAGTGCTCCTCATGGGAGCAAGTGTAACGGCCTTGATGTATTTGTATCGCGCCGGACTGCACAAGACAGTGGCCAAGGATCCGACTTTCAAGGCGCTGGCCCTGATCGTGGGCAAAGAAGACGAGGGTCCACTGAAGACACCGGTGGTCACCACCACGCAAAGCTCCCGCCAGGCTCCCTTCAACTTCCAAAGCATTACATCCTACGTGCAGCTCTATGACCGCATGCTGAAGGCCAAGCATCCAAGTTGCCCACACAAGAGGGGTTGTGTTCCCAACGCCCTTATTGGAGGACTGAAGCCATTCCTGGGCGGTGTTGGGCTGTCGGTGGGTCTGAAGCTGCTGCTCAACATTCCCAAGATCTTCCAGTCCAAGATGCAGTGGCGCAAGCAGATCTTCAACAAGGGATCATTGCAGTTGGGACTGGCACTCGGCATCTTCTCACTTCTTTTCAAGGTGAGCAATACCAAACCATTCGTTCATAAGATATATATCTTATCACTTCGACTTCGACAGTCGACTTCCTGCGGACTGCGTCACTCGTTTGGATTCGACAACGCTCTCTTCGCCATTCCGGCTGGCCTCATCGGATCGCTTGGCTTCCTCCGTTTCCCGAACACCACGGTGGCCTGTTATCTGACGTGGAAGGCCTTGCATCTGCTTTACAACTGGGGCATCGCGGAGGGAAAGCTACCCGAGGTGCCGCACTTCGCGATGCTCATGTATGGATTTTTCACGGCCGTGCTCTTCCACTCGGCAGTCCTGGAAGCCCGTTCGCTGCGGCCCAGCTACTACAAGTTCCTCATGGGCATCTCCGGAAACCGCATCAGTCGCTTCAATGTGAAACCCTTCGAGGCTTACGGCCTGAAGAGCCAGGACCAGATCAACTATGTGATCAAGAAGCTGGGCATCGACATGACCTCGCCCTACCCCCTGTGCGCCCTGACTGTCTAGATGGCGTTCCTCTACGGCGCTCCCTTCGCATGACTACTGTACAATAAAAAACCAGAAACAATAAATGTGTAACACAACGATGCAGCAAAACTTTAAATTAAATGCGCGACGCAGAATGGCCATTAAGGACTTTTAAGTGAGGAGCCGCAAGTGGGCCAACATCAATCACGGAGTCAACAAGCCGCTGGCACCCTTAAAGCCCCCTTTGAAGCCCCCCTGAAGCCCCTCGAAAAACCTCTCAGCCCCTGAGCCTCCGCCTCACCGCTGTGACAACTCTAGACGGCGGCTCCGCGCCGCTCAATTATTTACATTTATATGTCATATAAATTTATTGCCCACCATAACTCAGCCGGGCCAAAGAGAACTGGGATGAGCGGAGAGTTGAGCTGAGAGCAACTCGAGATACCCGAAATGCAGCTACAAAATCACTAAAAATAAAAATAATAATAAAGCACAGAGCCGAATGAATAAAAGTGCACAACTTGTTTCAAGAGCCACGAAACAGGGGATACCCTGAAGTTTTCGTAGCTCGCAGGGAAAAGTTTATTTCAGTTGATGTCTGTGCTAGATTTACCACGCTGGCTAAAATATATAAAAATATAATACAATTGGTATTGTAAATAGCTGATAATGCAGTCCAAGTATGTGATTGTACAAAATAATAAATATAATACACAGCAACAGGGCAAAGTAACATTTGATTTCTCATATCAGCACTACCTCCCAGCCATAGAAGTAGAGTAGCGCAGTATCCTTTTCAGGATAATACCAGAGAACCCGAAAAACCAGGCTATAATACGCTCCACTCGGCCCTGGCCCCACCTAATGATCATCTTGGCCAGCAATGGAAGCGGAACCCGAACTGGCAGTGGAACCGGGACCGGGCGGGCTTAACAAATGAATTATAGGCTCGGGTAAATTTAATGTGCCACTTAGTTATCGGTGCGGGATGGGGCGAGTGGGAGGCACTGGGCTTTATTGTTATGCGAATCATAATATGGCACGCCAGCTAAGCGACTTCCTTCCGCTTCGCAGCCCCGTGACCCGTGGCTGTTTGTCTTTGGTGATTTTCATTTTTAAATTGAGTTGAAAATAATGAAAATGCAAATTCGCCGGCCAGCTGCTGCTGTTGGACTTGGACACGCTTCTTTGCCGGGCCGCAGTCCTGACTCCTGCAATTGCAGGCTCCTTGGCATTTATGAAATTTATATGCATGTCAGTGGGCTCCCGAGGCGGGGGGGTGTCTGCTGTGTCCGCTCCAGCCCAGTCAACAGCTTGGAAAATACAAATGAAGCCAGTGACAAATCTCATTAATCACAGCGCCAGAAAGGAGGCGCTCGAGAAGGGGCGTGGCTTTGCCTGAATGGGTGCAGCTGTTGGCGCCTTCAAATCTGGGATTATCAGCTTAGCAGTTGCAGTTGTTTCTGTTGTTTCTGTTGTTGCCGCAGCTCCTACTACTTGTTGGTGCTCCTCGGTGGAGCCTCGAGGAGATTGGCGATGCAAAAAGTGCATATAAATTGAATATTATAAATTTTCTTATTGTGCAACTGCTGCTTTCACTTAGCTGCCGCTGTTACTGCTGCTGCCAAGTTGTAACTTCATTTAAGTCAATCGCTCTTTTCTGTGGCACACAAATTGTAAACAAGGGAATTATGCAAATGAATACACTCCCGTCCCATGGCAGCGTAATGAAATATTATTGAGGACTGTAGTCCCAAGCTCTCGGTGCGCAAATCGAACGGAAAATGAACTTTCAACTGTCAAAATAGGTGAAATGGAGAAGACAAAAATCGGTGGGGCAGCCCGAAGTGGAGGAGCAACTTTTCACTACTCGGACAAGACTTTCGACTTGCCATAAATTTCGTTCTGTATACTTCTATGAACTGACAAGGTATGTCATCGCAAGATAAGCAACCCCAAGCTGTCCGAATTTTGCCCCAAATAAATGACACATTTTTGTGCGTCCGGAGAAGAAATGAATTTTTAATTAAAATTTGCAGTTGTGCTGTGCGAAGATTGAATGGAAAATTCTACAGTGCCAGATAACCTAGAGATGCATAATAAATAAATGAAATTTCCGTAGCTCGGAATGCATTAACTACGCCGTGCTTCCAACACAAATTTGCAAGAACTCGATGTCAAGAATGTTTTGGCTTTAAGAAAATGCCCCAACATTTCTCACAATGAGGCAATCTTCTGATGATTTCGTGTATTATCTTCAGTTTCTTTCAGTTTTATCTAGAGTCATCAACCTTATAGCTTAAATATATACAACAAATCGTGAAAAGGTTCATTGTGCATATGTCATATGAAAATATAGTATTACTTGTTTTACTTGTTTCATTTTCATTCAAATGATACCATGATACCTTATATTTGCTACATTAACAATCAAATGTATTGTACTTTTGGTTAAGATAAGATTATAAAAAACGTGCGAGTACTAGCAATACCATTTTTAAAGCCATTTTACAATTAATAAGTGTTTTCCTTTCTTTTGTTTACATAACTAAGAATTTGAGGTGTAATATAGCTAAAGTATGTAATTATAATGAGTTCAAGATGATTCATAATAGCAATCTTTAAAAGGCGAACATACGAATGCTGATGGCTCCCAGGGTGCACTCGCCCTCGATTGGCCGCTCCTCGTCCTCGATCTCTCGCAGACGCACCAGGTGCAGGGGAACGCAATCCTTTAGGAACTCCAGGCCTGCATTGATGAGACCCAGTTGGATCCAGATCAGTGACAGCCAGAAGCAGGCCACACCGTCGAAGGGAGACGTCATTCCGCCGACGAGCTTGGGAACCCACTGCGGTACTTACAATCGGCGTGGAATCGGTGGGATCAGGCAGGGGCTGAGCCCCCCACCATCCCGTTGAAAACGTGCCGCCCTCGAGTGATAAGGGGTCGAAACGAAATAGCCGTCGGGGGCGATAGCAAGGCCATTATCTTTTGAGTCCCAACATTCGGCTGGCAACATTTTCGGTTGGTGTTGCCGGGAAATCGGCTCAAACTGCTCCATCGAACCTCTGCGACAGCGTTCCACAGTTCGTTCGTTTCGAGTTGGAATCCTTAGGCTCTTGCAGTCGTGTGCTGTCGCAACAGGATGCGCATTGTGCCGGAACACATGTGGCCCAGCTCCACATGTCGCACTCTCTGGGGAGATTTCAGTGCCACTCGGTCCGCGACTAACTGGGTTAGTGGTACAAGTTCAGTTTGACGCATTCGCCTTATCGATGGTTCCGCTCCCGCACGTTCCGTTCGTTGGGCTCATTCGGCCAGGATGCGTGCACGCCAATGGTGGTGCGCATTATCCTTTTGCCAGGCTAACTCTGCACTAAGTGAATAACCGGCGTGCTCTTGTGCGCCCGCTTTTCCGTTCTCAAAGGAAACCGACTTCATCAGCAAAGCGACTCTTATCCCGCTTTCTTGCGCTTCATTGCACCGTGCAGCCGCCATTTTCCCGGCACATCCTTAATTGAAAGTACATCGTTTACCTACTTGTAAGCCATCCTATCTGCAGTTTCTGTGGCGCGGTCTTTGTCCTTATCTCTTTGCCTTTTGGAGCCTTTGTTTGTTTTCCCCCGACATGTATAACCACCTTTATCTTTGGCGGAGGAACGGGATGCAGCTGAGAATGCATCATTGGGCGTTGACAGAGGCCACTCCCATCGCTTATTGGCAAAAGACTTCCTGGGATCCATCTCAGTGACGCCTTTGTTCTGTTAATCCTCCTTGCCAGCCCTCCTATTTTTACTACCAAAAAACGATTCCTTTGTTATGCCAGCCGCTCGACGACAATTGCACTTGCTGATTGCCCTCATTTCAGTCTTGAAATAATATTAAAAACTTTTACTCCGTCTCGCCAACGTACTACGCTCTGTTCGTCTCTTTCTCAGCCCCCATCTCCTCTCTCTCTCTCCTCTCTCGTGTCCTCTATGTGTGCTGTTCTTTTGTCTTTGTCTCCGCCTATGCCGCCTGCCGCCTGCTGCTTGCTGCCTGCTGCTTGTTGCAACTGCAGACGCGTGTTGCAGCACAAGTCCGAGCCCCTATCCCATATCCTTGCATCCCATCGCCGGACTTTGAATCCCGAGCTTGTTCTAGTTCTTGTTCTTGTCCCTCTTTTATTTACCACATAAATCACATGCCGGCGGATGGGACGGAAAGACATTTCTATATCTATCTACTTAAGGTTTTCACTGCCCATCTAGGAGCAATTTCTTTGCTGGCACTGAAACAAATTATATTTGAAAACTTTAAGGCAATTTCAGGCTCTAATTAGGAAACATAATATTTGTGTTTCTTCATTTCCTACCAAACTCAAAATTTGTATGATGTTTCATCTTTGATTCCCTTCCCGAGTCTAGTTTATTCTCCTTTCCTCGCAGCTTATCTCCGGTTCTCGACCACGTCCAAGTCTCAGTGTGGCCGAGTGCTTTTGGACTGCTAGTTGCTATTTTTACGATTGCCCATTGTCTGGCCGAAGTTCTAAGGTCCTTCCGGCTCCTCCGCGCCGACCTCATATCTGTGTTCCTCTCTGCTGCTTTTCGGGATGCGATAGGACACGTATCCGCTTTTGGCGATTTCTTGGCAATTGCAGTTGTTGTAACTGAGAAATGCTCGTGCGTGGGTGGGAGTTGGCTGCTTTTTGTTGGGTAATTGATGATTTACAACTTATTTACGCTTGGATTGTGCAATAATTGAAAATTGCTCTAAATTCATGTTGGCATTATTTGGGCCATATCCTCCCTGTTTTGCCAATAGCAACGCAAACGCCAATTCGCCTTTGAAAGAATGGGGAAAACTAATCTGCCAACTTTTGGACATAAATGATATATACGTGTATTTATATAATTATAAATTTATAATTAAAAATTCTGCCATAAAACAATAATACACACTTGCCTGGCATATTGACTTATTTATTTAAATTCGCATATACAATCCAAGTTTATTCAGCGTTTTAAAGTAAAGACTCTTTACTCTAATATGTAACATGGCTTTTCTCCGCATATCCTTACAGACACGCACATCCCTTTGGCAGGGTATAATTAATCTAGTTGCCGCATATTAAGCTTCCTAAAACACATGGCTGCCGTCGCCCCGATATGCAGCATGGAAAATGGGAAATGCAAACGGTCAGCGAGCGGATTAAGCCGTTGCAGCACAAAGGAAGCTGAAGCTGCAGCTGCAGCTGCAGCAGCTGCGGTAAAAACGTTCAACTCTGCGTTGTCTGGCAAGCGGACAAAAGCGAAATGTTGATCCTGGGGCGGACAGAAGCGCCACAACGAGATGCTCAGAAGCCGGTGCTCCGAATCTTGGCATTGAGCCACCGCCACCGAAACACACACACACACACAGGATGCAGCGATCCTGGCCAGAACACTGACTTTAAATTCAATTTGAAGCAAATGAAGCAGCTCAGGCAAATTTCGCAGGGCTGGCGCTTTAACGGCTTTCGACTTGACTGCGGCTGCCAGCAAAATGTGGCTATAATTTGCGGCAACATATGCCCCAGATTGTGGCAGCTGGTAGCTGGTAGCTGGCAACTGCTACTCTGCACGCCCAATTGGCTGCAAAAATGGTCACCCGCACAAGGAATCGTAAATTAATTGCAGCCTCAAAGTTTCTTTGTTGCACTTTAAGCTGCACTACGGCCGTCCTCCAATTATGTCATTAGACAAAGTCCAGATGGGCAGCCATAAATTACCACCGGGGCAACCATAAACAACCGTCAGGTACGACAAATGTTGGCCCGACACGAAAATGTTGACAAATTTTTCCTTCAAAGCCCAATACTCCAGCCGTCCCATGCGGCGTATACGCAACGTTGACAAACTCAGCTGCAATTCGTCGCCCAGGGAAGCCTCATAAATCCACCCAACTGCACTCCCCTTTCGTGTTGGCCCATCCAACCAACCAACGCACCTACCCACCCGATCCGTATCTGAATCAATTAATTTGCCCGATACGGATGAACCCTGCAATATTAAAGTACCACCGCAGTGGGCCCACAATCTGAGCCAGACACTAACAGGTGTTTTAACTAATGGAAAATATAAAATCCTGGTTTTAATAATTTGAAAATTCACGTAGTTTTATGAAATATTTGGTGGCCATATGAAAATGCATTGTGTAAACGGTTTATGTCCTAAACTCTAATGCAAAAAAGGTTTTGCATGCATAAAATATGAAAGCATGATTTTATAATTATCCAACTCGAATTCACGCTGAACAACTAGATAACCCGTTTATGTAGTTTTCAATAAAATGTGTGCCGAAGGAATGCGTTTTAGACTACTTCGAAATAAAGGAGCATAAATATATTGCTGCGTATTACTTATTTTCTTTTCTTCGCTTTCATTTATATATAAATAATACTTTCTAAAGAAGGCAGCATAATAGACAAATCATTTTAAGTGGACCTCGAGCAGCCCATAAGAATGAAAATTTCATATTTCCAGCTTATGTGCAAACTTTTCACGCTTTTAAAGCCGACTGTGAAGTAAACTTTTGCGCGGGGAAAATATTTTTTAATGCCCGTTCCTTCCCGGTCAATTCCTATGTCGCCATGGGGCGAATCACACCCCAGGACTCTTCAGGACACTCCTCATGCGGTCAAAAATAATGCTCGCGGCTCATGCGGCGCGGAGCGAAATGGCTGTGGTGAAAACAGCGGCACTAACAGATGCATTAGCTGCAGAACGGCAAAAGCCGGCCAGAATGCCATCGGATAGGGACCGAAACTCGGCACATGGCTATTAGATTACGATGCGGCCATTGAGCAAGCAGCTGTTGCCGGCGACGTCGAGCGATGGCAACTTTTGAGCCTGGGCCGGCTCCAAAACTCTACGCACGATTGATCCAACGAATCGAAATCGGAGTTCGAATAGGAATGCGGATGCCATTGCCATAGCCATAGATGCTCATGATATGTGAGTTAGTGGCCCCAATCATTCCGACCCCGTCTCACTTGGTATTTCCGCTCTGGTGATTATAGTTGCGCTCCATTTTGAATGCAATAAAGTCGCGGACCGAAATTAACCCAGTTTCTGGATGACTTCGCCTGGACATCGCCATCTGCCATCTGCCATCTGCAGCGGGCACTCGCATCAATCTGTTCGCGCTGTCCTTTCAGTTGAGTTCATTTCAGAAACAGTACCTCATGGCGTATACACGATATTCATAGTCAACTGATTGTAAGTGGGTTTTGGGGCGCCACTAACTGGTGATTCCACTCAACATCTAATGAAACGGAATCGTTTGCCATGCTGCACGTAATTAAATGTTGCACTTCCGTTCGCGGCGGAAGTGGAGGCGACGATTTACGGCTTAAACAGCGGCTAAGTGCAGCAATCATTGTCGGCCGGCCAGCAACAGGAACTGAACGGATCCGAAAAAATAAAAGTCGCCAAACCGGGTGAAAACACAGCAAATTAAAATTGTCGCACACTTGGCCAAACATTTGTCCAGCTCTTATCAATTGCTCGAGTCGGCGTTGCAGTCATCGCAATTTGTAACTAACGAGTTCGAGTCGATTTTACAGCCACTTGATAGAGTGCTCCGCCATCTACAGTAAAGCCTCTGCAGATGGAAGACATAAGCTGTTCAAAAAAAAAGAAAAACAGAATAAACAAGAATATTCCAAAACTAAATTTCCATTCAACTTTTTGCAACAAATTGTATTAGTTAACCATGGCTTATAAATATAAATATAGCTAAAAAATGCGAAGTTATATTTCGGTTAATTTAAAAAATTATTATTTGCACAACAAATTATTTCAAACCAGTTTCAGCCAATTAGTTAT